GATCTGCCTTTTTTTGGTCGGAAAAATGCCAAGAAAGTTTTAAAATGCTAAAGAGGATTGTAACAGAGGAACCAGTACTTGTACAACATGAGTTGCGTAGAAACTATGTAGTTTTTATTGATGTCTCTCTTAGCGAATTGGGATGTGTGCCTATGCATGAAGGGAACGTTGTGGCCTACGCCTCGATACAGCTGAAGATTCATGAGAGAAATTACCCGACACATGACTTAGAATTGGCAGCAATCGTGTTTGCTATGAAAATTTGGTGTCATTATCTGTATGGTGAGTGGTGTTATATTTATACATATCACAAGAGTCTAAAGTACTTGTTGACTCAAAAATAAAAGAACTTGAGGCAAAGAAGAAGGATCAAGCTTTTAAAAGATTATGATGTGATCATCGATTATCATCTAGGGAAGGATAATGTGGTAGCTGATGCACTTAGCCGAAAGACTTTTGATGCTTTACAAGCTCTGGATGCACGTATATCATTAAAAAAAAGATGGCGCCTTGATTGCTGAGCTTAAGTTAAAGCTGATGCTGATGGATTAGATAAAAGAGTTGCAAGGAAAGATGGAAAAATGTTTGGCATGATTGCACAAGTAAAAAATGTGAGGCCAAAGACTTTGAAATCGTGACTAATAGATGTTTATATTATCGTGGTCGACTTTGCATTCCAGATAATGAATAACTGAAGAAATATATTCTCTCTGAGGCACATTATAGTCCTTTGACCATGCACCCATACGGGAATAAGATGTGTCGGGATATAAAGAGTCATTATTCGTGGTCTGGCATGAAAAGAACTGTATAAGAGTTTATTGCAAAATACCTATCATGTTAGTAAGTGAAAGTTGAACATCAAGTGCCTTCCAGATTGTTGCAACCGATATCTATTCCTGAGTGGAAGTGGGAACGAGTTACGATGGAGTTTGTTTCCGGGCTACTTTTGACACCTAGTAAAAAGGACTCAATATGGGTAATCGTGGACATATTGACTAAGATAGCTCATTTTATTCCAGTTCTGATAGACTACTTAATGGATAAATATATAGAGTTATACATAAAAGTGATAGTTTGACTGCATAAAGTACCTGTTTCGATAGTATCCGACCGAGATCTATGGTTTACTTCAAGAATCTGGAAGTCTTTGCACGAGGCATTGAGCACTCGATTGAATTCCAGTACAGCTTTTAGCCCAAGAAAGATGGGCAGCCAGAGCCAACTATTCGGATATTGGAGGATATGCTAAGAGCATGCGTGATTGAATTCAAAGGATCATGGGAAAGATATTTACCTTTAGCATGATTTGTTTATAATAACAATTACCAATCGAGTATTAAGATGGCTCTGTATGAAGCCTTGTATGGGAGGAAGTGTCGAACACCATTAAATTGGTTTAAGCTAAAAGATCGAGACCTAGTTGGCCTGAATTTAATGAAAGAAATGGAAGATAAAGTGAAAGTTATCCAATATAATCTTAAGATAGCTTCCAATCGACAAAAGTCTTATTCTGATCTAAAGAGAAAAGAGATTTAATATCAAGTGGGAGATAAGGTATTTTTGAAAGTATCGCCTTGAAAGAAAGTATTGCGGTTTGGGCGCAAAGTAAAGTTGAGTCCGAGATTTATTGGACCTTATGAGATTTTAAAAAGGGTCGGACCAGTAGCTATCAATTAGCTTTACCTCCCGATATGGATAAAATCCATAATGTTTTTCATGTGTTGATGATCAGGAAGCACCGATCAGATCCATCACATATTCTCTCACCAGAAGAAATAGAGATCCGACCAGATTTGACCTACGAGGAAGAACCAGTGCGGATCTTGTCACGAGAAAACAAATAACTGCGTAACAAGAATATTCCTCTAGTTAAAGTGCTTTAGCAAAATCATAAAGTCGAGGAAGCTACTTGGGAGAATTATAATACCCCAAATATCGAGTCAGTGACCATAGTGAAAGGATTTAAAATTTAGTGGGTTAAATTAAGTATATTGAAAAGTACAAGGAATGATTTAGGAAATTGTGTTTAAGACTAATTATCAAGAATGGAAGAATAGAGGGGCAATTTGGTCTTATAGAAGGAATAAATTTAATATTCATTATTTTAGGGATATTTATTAAGTGGATAGGGGAAAATGGAAAAAGCTGAAACTTTGTTAGCTAGTCTTCTTCTTCTTCTCGTCCCCGTGCTCCCCATAGCAAAGGTAAGGTTTCTTCAAGTTGGTTTTTCCTTTCGTTTTTGGGTTAGTTTTGAAGCCTTAAGTGACATAGAAGCTTAAGGAAATCTTAAGAGTGAATAAAACTAAGAGACTAGTGATTTATTTGAGATTTAATAAAATGGGTTTTTAAATGATTTGATGAAATATGCTCAATTATTGGAATTTAAAAGCATATTTGACTAGACAAAAAAGTAAATAAGAGATTTAAAGCCTTAGAAGTGATTAAAAACATGTTTGAAAAGTTTGGTGTGATTCTTAGTTTTGAGTGTTCTTTGGAGATTTTAGATGTTATAAGAAGATTTATGGATGTAAGTTAGTTGGGTTAAGTGATGATGAGTTTACTGGTACGGTTGGAGATAAAAGTAAGAGATTTAATCAAAATTTTGGTAAAAAGAAAAGTCAAATAAGAAAAATCTGGGTAAGGGTATCGATATTGGAAGATCAGTACCAATATTATAGGGTTAAATTTGAGGAAAGATGATGAACACGACAAACAATATCGATATTGATGCAAGTAGTATCGATACTGATGTGGGGTATCGATACTATAATTTAAAAATGCATTTGTAACACCTATTTCCCGTATACATTTCAGTACACAAGTCATAAGTGTCAAATGACTTATGAAAATATTTACTCATTTGTAATACCACTAAAATTTTGTTTCGAATTTCAAACCAAACATTTTGATACAATAATAAAACATTCATTGAAATATATTACTAAAATCTATCACTTTAAAACCATTACAAAACTTTTTTTTAAAATTTTGATTACATGCCAGCTAAGTTTCAAAATAAACATGATTGTCTTACTGTTACTTACGAGTCAACCTTAAATTGATGATAGTTCCTTACTCGGTTACTCTTTGATTTTTACCTACGAATGAAATCAAAACACGTTAAGTATTCACTTAGTGGAACATACACTACAACAAAAATGGTTTTTAGCGGCGGATGTAGCGGCGTTTTTACTGAAAACGCCGGTAATTGTTTACATATAGCGGCGTTTTTGAACAAACGCCGCAAAATACTATAATTTAGTGGCGTTTGTATAGAAACGCCGCTAAAGAATCGTAATATAGTTGCGTTTTTATACAAACGCCGTTATAAACTAGTATTTTAGTGGCGTTTTTATACAAACGCCGTTATAGACACGTACTTTTGTGGCGTTCTAATACCAAACGCCGCTATAGACTCGTACTTTAGTGGCATTTTTACACAAACGCCGCTATAGACACGTACTTTTGTGGTGTTTTAATACTAAACGCCGCTATAGACATGTACTTTTGTGGCATTTTAATACCAAGCGCCGCTATAGATTCATACTTTAGTGGCATTTTTACACAAACGCCGCTATAGACACGTACTTTTGTGGCGTTTTAATACCAAACGCCACTATAGACTCGTACTTTAGTGGCGTTTTAATACCAAACGCCGCAATTTTCATAAAACCTAGTGGCGTTTACGTAGAAAAACATTGCTACTGAACACTACTTTAATATATCGAAACAAAACCCTAATTTCATAGATTCAGTATGGGCATCGAAATATATCTCCCCTCCCTTTTATCTCTTCGCATCCACTCTCATCCTTTGATCCTTTGACCTCCATTGTTCGATCCATCTTCCCCTTACATTCAACCCAGATATCTCCCTCTTTCATTCCCCTCTTGGTGGTGGCGCCTGATACGTTGTCGGTGAAGTATACTACCGTAAGCCTCCATGGCCATGATGTCGGTGTGGTTCAAGCCAATAACCCGGTTCCTATAAAGTGTCTGGTTTATTACTTCGAGATTTATGTGAAGGACGCTGGAGTCAAGGGTCAAATTGCTATTGGATTCACCAGTGAAGGCTTCAAGATGCGCAGGCAACCGGGGTAATCTCTGGCTTTTTTCTTCTTCTCTGTTTCAAGATACTGTTGTTGAAAACCATTTTTAATTGGAGTACTTTTCATTTGAAATAGTTTGCATTTATTTGATGAATTGGGGAAAAACTGGAAATTAAGAAAAAAAAAGAAAAGCAAGAGAGAAAAAGAAAAGGAATGATAGAGTGAGAATTAATTTCATTTGATGTTTTCTAGTTTTATCAGTATGTATGATCGTTTATAGCTGCTTGATAATGGAAAACAATGCATAAGAAGATTAAATCCAGTCTGGAAAAAGAGGAAAGAGAGTTGCTCTTAGTTGAAGTGAAAGAGAACTGATCTTGTGTTCTGCCTGTTGTTCATTCAGTTCAATTGATTCTATGACTAGTTTTGATAAGAGATTCTGGATATTGAGAGAAGCAAATCTCCTCCTATGTCAAAGAAATGATCTTGTGTCGAGGGTCCCTATTTTTGGTAATTCAGTTCAATTGGGCTTATGTCTTGTTTTAGTGAGAGATCCATAATATTTAGATAAATGAATCTTCTTTTAGTGATTGGGAATGTGTGTGCATTGGGGGGGGAGAAAGGAATGAATTCTCTCTTTTAATATTGTGGGAAACACAAGATTTTTAAAGAATGAAAGAAATATAATCAAGATGAAAGCTTTTAATTATGTAATACATATAAGAAAAATTTTATTTTTCATAAATTCTTATATGTACACACTAAGTTCAAAGTATCCTTAACTGTGTCAGGTGGGAAGTAAACAGTTGCGGGTATCATGGGGATGATGGTAGGCTCTATCGTGGGCAAGCAAAGGGAGATGCTTTTGGTCCAACATATACAACAGGAGATACGGTTGGTGGCGGCATAAACTTTGCTTCACATGAATTATTTTTCACGTAAGTGCAGTTGTTCATCAAGCACTGTATTTAGGAGCACTTGTGGCTCAAATGTCTATGCTGCTTACATGTGAAGTTCTATTCATTTCTGAAGATTCTCATGATTCTGTATGCTCATATGTTGATGCCAGTAAAAATGGGGCAATAGTAGGAACTTTTAGCAAGGAAAACGAAATGAACCGTTGCTTGTTTCCCACCATTGCTGTCCACAGCCAAAATGAGGAGTATGTTTACCTTCTTTTATTGTGTATTTATATGAATTCTCTCATGTATATGTTGTTGTAACGTACCCATATTTGCATTTGGCGAAATATAGGAATAATGGATATGCCATTTCTCTCTATTCCTTCCTCTTCAATTGCATTTAATTGATACATTGAGGTTTGTCTATAATGAATGAGAAGTGATGGGTTAGTTATGATACCTTTTTTCCTGTCATTTTCCAACATATTGTTTGGCCTTGTAAAATTACTTTAAGGGGTAAAATAAGCTAAAAGTTGCCTGAGGTTATTCAAACTTATTTCATGATAGTGACAGTGCCAGAGTCGGTTTATATGGCTTCAATATAAAATTTTCAGATCTGAACAGAGGTTAAATGTGGCTTGAGCAAGTTAATAAATTATCAAGCTGAAGTGTAGTAGGCTTTTGCCAGACTCTGCTAAGCTAGTTTACAGCCCTATCCTTGGGCAATTGGTGCGCTATGTTTAAATCAAATATAACACAATATTGTCCTACTCCGTTAATAATGTCATGTATATTTTCAAAAAACTTGGCTTTGGAATGTTATAATTAGGCTATATGTCTGAGGGGAAATTTTGTGATTAATGCAAAAGTGGCAGAAGTATGTGTTATGGATGTGACTTTTATATGCAATTTTCAAATGATGCTTATAGTGATTCTGTTATTTGAAAAATCAAACAAACTCTTCTCATTCGGTATGCTAGTAGGTTGGCCTTTCTGGTGATGATATGTTGCTTTGGTTGTTAAAAACACCTAAAATGCAATTACGATATATCTTATCTACTTTGGTTTTTCCTTACTACTTGCATTGATATTTATTACATAGTTTCATCATCATGCAATTATGATATTTCAAGTTTTTCTAATGAGCTTTTTTATTTATTTCAAAATGTGCAGGGTTCATGTCAACTTTGGGCAAAAGAAGTTTTCTTTTGATCTGAAGGCAAGTTATGCTTCCTTTTTCTGCTTGTAAATAGTCTAATTAATCTTAGTAAACCATGGTTCCCTCAGTCTGTCATTTTAACTGGTTTCTTAAATGTTTCTTTTCTGTATCTTCCTATTTATCATCTTTGATGCTATATATCAGGAATATGAAGCTCAAGAAAGGTTGAAGCAGCAGATGACAATTGAAAATATGCCTCTACCTCCAAATATTAGTTATGGGTATTTTTTTTTCTCCTTCTGCTTTTATGTATTTTCTGTTATGTTGTTTTACATGCCTGTCCATTGCAGTTACCTATTGGATGATTTGATGTTTATGGTTAAAGAAGTATCTGAATTATTTAAATCTAGGCTACTGCTCTGATAATGTAACAGTTTCTGTAAAATAGAAACTTGTCCTCTAGGCAATGGTGTTAATATTAACTGCATGTTGTTGGTTCTTGATAACTGGTCTATCTTCTGCCTCATGTTACATCATAGTGTAATAAGGCATTGAAGAAGTCTGAAAGGGTTTTGAAGCACCAGAAGCGGTATGAGTAGAAGATAAAATATTAATACTTGAAGATATATGTGTCAGACTAAATCTAGAGAATAAAATCTTATGCATGCAAGTTCTAATGTTATCAACGATGACGATTTGCAAGCCTTTTTGCGTACATTCCGTCAAACTACAGAGTACACAAAGGACATTATTATATGTATTTCATGATCCTAAGCTAGAGCCCAACCTTCTAGTCACAACAGTTGTTATCTTGGGGTAAGAATTCTAACTTCTAAAAGTAAGATGGCAACCAATACATTATTAAATTTTTTCTTTATGATGACATTTTTTACATTCTTATGTAGAATATATTTTAGTTTTCATGGTTCTTGACTTCCTGTTTTTGTAGTTTATTGCAACATCTTTTTCAGTTCTCAATCACTCACATGTAGGTTATGAATGCAAGTTCTGCTGGTTGTTTCCTTTTCTTCTTAGTCTCATCTAAATTATTGTAATATTGAAGAACAAACTTCAACAAAAAGCGGCTTCTTCAATAGACTGGCACAGCGTTTCCCATTTGTTTTTAATCTATTGAGGAGAGATCATTCACTGTCAAATGATACTTTCAAATAAGATGTCAAGACAATGAATATGACAAATTCCAATGAAGTGGGAAACAAAGTAGCTTTAGAAGGCATATCTGGAGGTTATGATGATGATGCTAGTGAAATTGAGGATGTATCGAACAACAAATCCATGTATATCTACACTTTGAGGTTCAATTGTAACTCATTTATACTTTAATGTCTTTTAAGGTTCTCTCTCCATAAAAAAAACTTTAATTTATTTTGTTGTTAAGTATTTTTCTTTATGTTTTTTGTCTTAATTAAAATGTAAGGTTGTTGTTAATTAGATAAAGCTAAAGAAAGGCAATTAGCGGCGTTTGTATACGAAAACGCCGCTATAGGTCTAACTTTTTGCGGCGTTTGTGTTCAAAAACGCCGTTATAGGTCTGACCTTTTGCAGCGTTTGTGTCCAAAAACGCCGTTATAGGTTTGACCTTTTACGGCGTTTGTTCTAAAAACGCCAGTATAGGTCTGCTCTTTTGCGGCTTTTGTATCAAAAAACGCCGCTATAGATCTGACCTTTTGCGGCGTTTTTTCTAGAAACGCCGCTATATATCATAAATTTTTGCGGCGTTTGTTCCAAAAACGCTGCTATAGATATCGACCTTTTGCGGCGTTTGTTCAAAAAATGCCGTAATAGATATTGACCTATTGCGGCGTTTTTTTTTCTCAAACGCCGCTAACTTTAGCGGCGTTGATATTACTGGCGCTTCTTGCGGCGTTTTCCTATCGCCGTAAATACTTTTAGCGGCGCTTAAAAACGCCGCTAAAAGACTAAAAAAACGCAGCTAAAACTCTGTTTTGTTGTAGTGATAATACTATAAATGAAATACAATTTATTCATAATCAAGTCAAGACTATCAACAACGAGGTAATTCGTACACTTCATTAAAACCATTTACAATATTTTTAGTTAAACTAATAAGTGGCATTGATTATGCAGAAATACAATGTTTTCATCTAAATTGTATTAGTAGCACCTTTCTTCCAAATACACAGTTAGGCATTTAACCTTTCATCTAACATGCATTATTGGCATCTTTCTGCCAAATGCACAATTAGGCATTTAACCTTTCATCTAACATGCATTATTGGCATCTTTCTGCCAAATGCACAGTTAGGCATTTAACCTTTCATCTAACTTGCATTATTGACCCCTTTTTGCCAAATGCACAGTTAGGCATTTAACCTTTCATCTAACTTGCATTATTGGCACATTTCTACCAAATTCATATTTATGCATTTAACCTTTCATCTAACTTGCATTATTGACACCTTTATTCCAAAGGCACAGTTAGGAATTTAACCTTTCATCTAACTTACATTATTGGCACCTTTCTACAAAATCCATAGTTAGCCATTTAACATTTCATCTAACATGCATTATTGGCACCTTTCTGCCAAATGCACAGTTAGGCATTTAACCTTTCACCTAACTTGCATTATTGGCACCATTCTTCCAAATACACAGTTAGGGATTTAACCTTTCATCTAACTTGCATTATTGGCACCTTTCGGTCAAATGCACAGTTAGGCATTTAACCTTTCATTTTAAAGAAATCTCTACTCTAAAAATTGTTCATAATATCGATTACATACATGTTATAAACATATATCAAATACGGAAAAATCAACATTAAATTAAAACATTAGAGGTTTACTCATGGTGAGTCTCTCTCATCCCATATAATTACAGTAGATGCACTCACCTGATATGCCTCCCTAGTATGTTGTACTGATGTCCAACTACTCGGCAACTTTGTCATTGCCCTTTTCTTGCTTGACTCGAGAGCTTGGTTATGATCTACACAAGCATCCATTTAGTACACATACCATACAAATGTTAGTATACCCTCTAACATTTATACTTTAATAATACTCAAAACTACTATTATTTTCAATTTCTATTACAATTTCAGCCTATCTTACATTTTCAAGCTAAAAAATATTGGTACCCTTACCCTCGTATCGATACTTCTATACTATGGTATTGATACTTCCTTTCAGTATCGATACCATTTCTGCATTCTGGAATCCATGGTATCAATACCTTTCTTTTAGTATCGATACCCACATCAGTATCGATACTAATTGCATCAGTACCTATATTGTTCATCGTATTTTAACAAATTTAAACCTATAGTATCAGTATTATTCTATCAGTATTGATACACTTACCCAAATTTTCCATTTTTCAGCTTGATGTTTACCCAAATTTGGTCAAATTCCCTTCCTTTTACCTCCAACAATACTATTAAACTCTTCTTTACTTATATTTCCTTCATTTATCTTCTTATAGCATCTAAAATCTCCAAAGAGTAACTCCAACAAAGAATCATACCACTTTTCCTAACATGTTTTTAATCACATCCAATGCTTATAGTCTCTTATTTACTTCCTTGACAAGTCAAATATACTAATAAACCTCAATAAAAACTCTTATTCCAACATATAATTCAAAAACCCATTTTCTTCAATCACAAATAAAACATTCATCTCTTAGTTTTAATCCTCTATAACCCTTCCTTAAGTATCTATAACACTCAAGGTTTCAAGAGCAACCCAAAAACGAAAGGAAAAACTAGTTAGATGATGCTTACCTTTCGCTATGAAGGAGAACGCATGAACACAAGAAGAATAAGAAGTGTGGATGACTTAGTTTAATTTCCACTTTCCCCTTTTTCCTTTTTCTTAATCCCTAATAGAAATGAATTTTAAATTCATTCCCCTCTAAAGAACCAAAATGCCCTTTTATTTTTCCATTCTTACTATTTGGTGTTACTTGAATCATTTCTTATATTTTACCATTTATTCAATTTTTTCCTCCAAAAATTAAATCCTTTCAAAATAGTCATTGACCTACTATTTAGGGTATTACAATTCTCTCCCCTTAAGAAAAATTCGTACTCAAGTTTAAAGAAGTACTTGAAACGAAGAGGTGTGGAAATTGCTTCCTCATATCCTCATCTCTTTACCAAGTAGCTTCTTCCACCTTATTATTCTGTCAGAGCACTTTAACTAAAGGAATCTTCTTTGTACGCAATTCTTTGTTTTCTCTAGCCAAGATCCGCAATGGTTCTTCCTCATAAGTTAAATCTGGTCAGATCTCTATTTCCTCTGGTGTGATAATGTGGGATGAATCTAATCGGTGCCTTCGAAGCATCAACACGTGAAAGACATTATGGATGTTGTCCATATCAGGAGGCAAAACTAATTGATATGCTACTGGTCCAACCCTTTTCAAGATCTCATAATGTCCAATAAATCTCGGACTCAACTTTCCCTTGTGCCCAAACCGCAATACTTTATTCAAAGATGACACTTTGAGAAATACCTTCTCTCCCACTTGAAATTCAATTTCTTTTCTTTTAAATCAGCATAAATTTCTGTCGATCGGAGGCTATCTTTAAATTATCCTGAATAATTTTCACTTTCTCCTCTGTTTCTTTTATAAAATCTGGGTCAACTATGTCTCGATCCTTTAGCTCAAACCAATTTAATGGTGTTTTTCACTTCCTCCCATACAAAGCTTCATACGGGGCCATCTTAATACTTGATTGGTAATTGTATTTATAATCAAATTCAACTAAAGGCAAATACCTTTCCCATGATCCTTTAAACTCAATCACACATGCCCTTAGCATATCCTCCAATATTTGAATAGTTCGTTCTGACTATCTATATGTCTGCGGATGAGAAGTTGTGCTGAAATTCAATTGAGTACCTAATGCCTCATGCAAGGACTTCTAGAATCTTGAAGTAAACCTTGGGTCTCGATCGGACACTATCGATATTGGCACTCCATGCAGTCGAACTATTTCTTTTACATACAATTCCGCATATTTATCCATCGAGTGATCTACCCGAACTGGAATAAAGTGAGTTGTCTTGGTTAATCTGTCTACAATTACCCATATCGAATCCTCTTTAACTGGTGACAAAGGTAGCCCCAAAACAAAATCCATTAATAATCGTTCTCATTTCCACTCATGAATGGATATCAGTTGTAGCAATCCAAATGGCACTTGGTTTTTAGCTTTGACTTGCTGACATGTCAAGCATCTCGCAACAAACTCTGATACAACTACTTTCATACCATGCCACCAATATCGACTCTTTTAATCCTAATACATTTTATTCCCACCTGGATACATCTTCAAAGAACTGTAGTGTGCCTCAAAAAGAATATTTTTCTTCAGTTCATCATTATCGGGAATGCAAATCACGCTTTGAAAATATAAACATCCATTAGCCCTCATTTTGAAGTCTTTGACCTTTTTTTTTTACTTGTGCCCTTCTCGCCAAACATTTCTCATCTTGACCTTGTAGCTCTTTTACTCCATCTAAAAGCATCGGCTTCAACTTAAGTTCATCCATCAACACACCATCTTTTTTAAGGACATACACACATCCATGGCTCTTAGAGCAGCAAA